AACAACCCTGCAACCAAATAACAAAGAGTCTCTTGTGTCCCAACACATCCAATACAATGGTAATTTGTATAGGTGCACTAGTTCGGGGAAGAGACGCTGATACAAGTGCAATATTGATGGTAGATATAGGTTTTTGTAATCTGAAATTATAAAAACAGCAAGGTAGCAAGTAACAAAAGTGAGCAAAAATGGTATTGCAATGCTTCGGAACAAGGCCTAGGATTCATACTTTCACTAGTGCAAGTTGTCTCAACAATGATAACATAATTGGATCAAATAACAATCCCTCGACATGCAACAAAGAGTCACTCCAAAGTCACCAATAGCGGAGAACAAATGAAGAGATTATTGTAGGGTATGAAAACACCTCAAAGTTATTCTTTCCGATCAATCCATTGGGCTATTCCCATAAGTGTCACAAACAGCCCTAGAGTTCATAGTAAAATAACACCTTAAGACACACATCAACCAAAACCCTAATGTCACCTAGATACTCCAATGTCACCACAAGTGTCTGTGGGTTTCATTATACGATATGCATCACACAATCTCGGATTCATCTATTCAAACCAACACAAAGAACTTCAAAGAGTGCCCTAAAGTTTCTACCGGAGAGTCAAGACAAAAACGTGTTCCAACCCCTATGCATAAGTTCACAAGGTCACAGAACCCGCAAGTTGATCACCAAAACGTACATCAAGTAGATCACGTGAATATCCCATTGTCACCACAGATAAGCACATGTAAGACATACATCAAGTGTTCTCAAATCCTTAAAGACTCAATCCAATAAGATAACTTCAAAGGGAAAACTCAATCCATTACAAGAAAGTAGAGGGGGAGAAACATCATAAGATCCAACTATAATAGCAAAGCTCGCGGTACATCAAGATCGTGCCAAATCAAGAACACGAGAGAGAGAGATCAAACACATAGCTACTGGTACATACCCTCAACCCCGAGGGTGAACTACTCCCTCCTCGTCATGGAGAGCGCCGGGATGATGAGGATGGCCATCGGTGATGGATCCCCACTCTAGCAGGGTGCCGGAACAAGGTCCCAATTGGTTTTTGGTGGCTACAGAGGCTTGCGGCGGAGAAACTCTCGATATTGGTTCTGTTCAGGAAGTTTGGGATATATAAGAGGTGTTGGCGTCGGGAACAAGTCAGCGGTCCACGAGGAAGCCATGAGGTAGGGGGTGCGCATAGTGGGTAGGGCGCGCCCTCCACCCTTGTGGTGCCCTCGGGACTCTTCTGGTCCATCTCTGATGCTCTGTGGGCTTCTTCTGGTCAAAAAAACAAGCTCTGTAAATTTTCAGGTCAATGGGACTCCTTTTGGTATTCCTTTTCTGTAAAACTCAAAAACAAGGGAAAAAACAGGAACTGGCACTAGATTCTAGGCTAGTAGGTTAGTCCCAAAAATCATATAAAATAGCATATAAATGCATATAAAACATCCAAGATGGATAATATTACGTATCTGTAATTTTTTATTGTTCCATGCTATTATATTATCCATCTTGGATGTTTTATATGCTATTTTATATGATTTTTGGGACTAACCTATTAACCTAGAGCCAAGTGCCAGTTCATGTTTTTCCCTACTTTTGGGTTTCGCAGAAAAGGAATACCAAATGAAGTCCAAATGGAATAAAACCTTCGCGATGATTTTTCTTGGACCAGAAGACAATCAAGAGACTTGGAGATGAAGTCGGAGGAGCCACGAGGCGGCCACAAGGACGGAGGGCACGCCTAGGGGGGTAGGGCGCGCCCCCCACCCTTGTGCCCCCCTCGTGCACTTCCTCACCTAATTCTTTCGCCTATATATTCTCATATATCCCCAAACCAACAGGGGCATCCACGAAAACATTTTCCCACAGCTACAACCTTCTGTACCCGTGAGATCCCATTTAGGGACCTTTTCTGGCACCCTGCCGGAGGAGGATTCGATCACAGAGGGCTTCTACATCAACACCATTGCCCTTCCGATGAAGCGTGAGTAGTTTACCACACACCTACGGGTCCATAGCTAGTAGCTGGATGGCTTCTTCTCTCTCTTTGATTCTCAATACCATGTTCTCCTCGATGTTCTTGGAGATCTATTCGATGTAATACTTTTTTGCGGTGTGTTTGCCGAGATCCGATGAATTGTGGATTTATGATCAACTTATCTATGAATATTATTTGAATCTTTTCTGAATTCCTATATGCATGATTTGATATCTTTGCAAGTCTCCTCGAACTATCGGTTTGGTTTAGCCAACTAGACTGTTTTTTCTTGCAATGGGACAAGTGCCTAGCTTTGGGTTCAATCTTGCGGTGTCCTTTCCCAGTGACAGTAGGGGCGGCAAGGCACGTGTTGTATTATTGACATCGAGGATAAAAAGATGAAGTTTTCATCATATTGCTTGAGTTAATTCCTCTACATCATGTCATCTTACTTAATGCGTTACTCCGTTCTTTATGAACTTAATACTCTAGATGCATGCTAGATAGCGGACGGTGTGTGGATTAATAGTAGTAGATGGTCTTCTTGACACATATGTGATGCCTATATTCATGATCATTGCCTTAGATATCGTCATAACTTTGCGCTTTTCTATCAATTGCTCGGCAGTAATTTGTTCACCTACCGTATTATTTGCTATCTTGAGAGAAGCCTCTAGTGAAATCTATGGCCCCCGGGTCTATTTTCCATCATACAGTTTCCGATCTACAATTTAAGTTACCGATCTGCTATTCTTGCAATCTTTTACTTTCTGATCTATAAACTAAAAATACCAAAAATATTTACTTTATCGTTTATCTATCTCTATCAGATCTCACTTTTACAAGTAACCATGAAGGGATTGACAACACATTTATCGCGTTGGGTGCAAGTTTGTTTGATTGTTTGTGCAGGTATTCGGTGATTTGCGCGTTTTCTCCTACTAGATTGATACCGTGGTACTCAAACTGAGGGAAATACTTATCTCTACTTTGTTGCATCACCCTTTCCTATTCAAGGTAAAAACCAACGTAAGCTCAAGAAGTAGCAGACGCGTCCCTACCCCGGACCACATTCTCTTTTTTTATTCATTCTTTTCTTGTTCTCTCTTCATCTCCATCAATCACATGCAAGTGACCGGATATATGAGGACGAACATGAGGAGCGCGGATGCACAAACGGATAAGTAGGGGCTCAAAACGGACATGCCCGGTCACTGACCGGGCGCGTCCGCGAGCGTTTAAGGGGTCATATTTGGTATGTCTGGCTGTAGATGCTCTAACACAACTCACAAATTGACGCTCTCAAATTCATGACACATAGCACACAACTTAGGTCCACGACATAGTTCATGACACATAGCACACAACTTAGGTCCACGACATAGTTCATGACACATAGCACAACCTAGGTCCATGCCATAATTCATGATGCATAGCACAATTTCGGTCCACTTCATAGCTCAGAAATTCAGTACATAATTCTCAGTAGCAACGGAAGTCAAGTCTTTATTGGGTCACACGGGGCCATTTCCCATTCTTGTCACGTGCCTCATCCCTCCTTTTGCGCATCACGAGTCCTTGCAAGCTTTCTTGCCCTCTCCTCTTCACGAGCAACCTTCTCTTTGCGGCCCTCTCCTCCTCATGCTTCTTTTGCTCCTTCTTCTCCTTCTCGTCCGAGGCCGGGCATGCATCGACGGGGCTAGCGCGTGGTCCTAAATCCGCCACTCCGTTTCAATGTCCCGCTTCATCTCGTCCCAAAGGGGGTTGAGGGGATCCGACTGTTTCTCTTCCTCATCAACCCCCAAGTTGAAGATGAGGGGGAACTCGTTCCTTTGTGCCATTTGACGAGGATGCGGTGAATTGAAGGCTGAGGAGAGTGGGAGGCACCGAAGAGGGGGAAACATAAGAGAGAGGGTGGGAAGGGCGCGATCCACCTTTATAAGTTGCTACGAGCACCATAGAGAGGGCAGTTGGGGAGCAGGAGCAATAGACGACCACATGAAGCGCAGCCGCGCTCACACGCCTTCTCTCAGGTTGGGTCACCATAGGAATTGGAGTGAGCGGCCGTGGTGTTAATGGCCAAATGATTGACAACCACATTTACCCCATCGCCGGTGGTGTGTGGAGGCTGTGCCACTTCAAATCCCACCCGTGGCACGAGGAGGAAGAAGCTGAAACTTTCCTCCCACGTCGGCAGTTGGGTTCAGAGCGAGCTCCAAACAAGTCCCCATGGTCTCCAAATATTTTGAAAAAAATATGGCGATTTAGGGGTGAATGACAACTCTACTAGAGCTGTTTTTTGTGCTCCGTGATCTATATGATAGTTATTATGCAGTTTGGGTGGATATGATAACTCTAATAGAGTTGCTCTTACTCCCCTCCGTCCCAAAATTCTTGTCTTACATTTATCTAGATACGGATGTATCTAATATTAAAACATGACTTGATATATCCGTATTTAGACAAATCTAAGACAAGAATTTTGGGTGACTTGATACATCCGTATTTAGACAAATCTAAGACAAGAATTTTGGAACGGAGGGAGTAGTCACTAGGCAATCCGGAGCTACAAGCCACTCCGGGGCACACCAACAGGACACACACAAAGCAACATAAATTTGACTCACCTTTAATAAAAATGGGAAATATACCCTAGAATAAACTGAGATTATATCAGCATTCAACATCAATTCATTCCATAGATCACACATCTTACACGGAATCCACATAAAGCTTGGGTCTCAATTGTGCTCATGACCTTAATGTGCCACAATCTTCGGATCAGAATCATCATGACCTCGATGTGCCACAATCTTCCGATCAGAATCATCAGCCTCTTGATGGCCTCTAGTATGCACGATCATATATGTTCCTCAACTAACTCGATCTTGCCTACACACAAACAACATTCACTCATTTTCCTTTTAAGTTTAACTTTTGGAACACGTGTGCCGCAAGTTGCGCATGCTTGTATCAGTCGCTCTGTCATCAAAGAAACTCCGGTTCAGTTCATTACATACTGAAACTGCTCATCGCTTTGCAGGTTGCTGAGATTGTACAGAAGTTGAGGTTGTTTTCCTGACAGAAACATCCATTAGTAAGAACAGCCGTAGATTAAAATCCGGAATCAGAGGAGCATAAATAAAGGATGTTTACTGGAAGCTTGAGAGCAGCTCATCTGCAATATTCTGTGACGAAGCACCACTTGTGAATCCTAACTGGAACATCATTTGCTCCAAGCGCTTGAAATTCGTGAGGTAAAGATATCCGATCTAATAGCAGTAACATCACCAACAATGTGAGAATTTAGTCTTCTAAGAAACTATGTGAGGATTAGTCTTTACAATTGAGGACAACACATTGCAACTTATAGTTAGTAAAAAACATTGCAACTTACAATAGAAGACAGAGATCCACAATTTTTAAAATGTGAGGGAAAAAAGTCAGGATATTTGGTGCACATAATTGATAGCTGTAGAACAAACCAGTGTTTCAAGTGAAGATGCTCGATTGTACACTGCGATTCCTGCCCGTTTTCTTGTACGAGTTTTGCTGCTAACGATGTTCCTTCCCCAACGAAGTATGTCCCTACAGAACATGATTATCTAAGTAACTCACAGGTCACAGGTACTAGACAGATGAGAAAGCATCAAGCAATACTACATTTGTTCATATTCCATATAATGCAGAGAAAACAAATGTGGTGCAGTACAAAGGCAACTCTAGGAAGATGAACTCATACGTCCTGAATACTGATGCACTAACACCGCATGGAAGCTCAATCATGTGTATAGAGGCTAGTGCATAGTGTTTCCTAGTAGGCAGTAAAACGCTAGAAACATAGGTTTACCCTTTTTTTCCGAGAACATGCAAGAAAGCTGCATGTATCATATTAAGAAAAAGGTAGGTACAAGACCCAATCAGTGGTGGAAGAAGAAAGGCAGATTAACTTAATTTACCTTTCTTCTTCAGTTAGAAAATCCTCTCCCAGGAGTTTGTTCAGCAGCAGATCCTGAAGGAAGGAAACAAATGACAACGATGTGAAAATATGCCTGGCATTGTGATGCTTCAAAGCACTCTCTTATATGCAGCAAACAGAATGGAGAACAGGCAAGCAAAACGAGCGCTCTTCAGAAATTGAACTACAACCATTAAAAATAGCAGTAATTGAAACGACATTAGGAGACAAAACCTATTGATATATGCGAAAAATGTCAATATGAAGGCTATGATACAATGGATAAACATAGATGATAAGATAAATTCTACATCACAATCAACGAACATACCATGCTGAAGCATTTAGTCTATGTGAGCTGTTTGATCAGAGGATAAAGAAGAGCAATATCAGACCTGTGATTCACATTTCACAACATCCATCACACGCTTATTGTATTCATTGATGCTCAGTGGAGGAAAGAAGAAGTGTCTCCGAGCATAGAGCTGTATCACAAAGAGCAAGAATCAGACCCTCTCACAACAAACAAGCTTGAAGTTGAAAAAACTAGTACACATTGTCTCAGCGTCGTCAGGAATATCATATAGTAAATCCAGAGCAAATGAAGGTCAAAAGCGACAGCTAGGCTGATCTACATGTAATATAACTACATAACAGCAACTGTAAAGTGCATAAAGACCAAAGAATAAAATGACCAGTTCTCACTTCATATATGCAGTCCCCCAAGTATGCCAGCGATGCCGCGTTGTAGAGTGAACGGGGTTTCTTCACCTCTGGCGCAGGCGGCAACCACCACTTCTCAAACCCCATGTACGTGCTCTTCTTTGCTAATACAAACCAACCAACAATCAATTGACAGAATAAAAAACTTCTCTGCCTAAATAGTGTAGTAACTACACGGTCCTAACACTGAACACTAGAGCAGGCCACAGCCATATGTTGTCATTAAGTGAAGTAGAAAATATCGAATTATGTTCTCATTCTCGATGACACAACCATTCTATTGCACTTGCTTTTAAAGTCAAAATCTATATGTAATTGCCTTCGACCAATTTTCAGTTGTTCACTGACAGCATGCTGCCACAGCTTCAGGGGGGTAGAACGTGGAGGAAATGGCCGGGATGGCAGAGCTGAGTGAGGATAGATAGATAGATACCTTGGTCCTCGCTGCTGCGCGCGAAGAGGTCGGCGTGTGTGGGAGGGGGTGCGCGTGCGGGGGTGGTCGCCGCCGCCGGCGACTGCCCCAGGGCTGGCTTGGGTTTGTCCTTTGACGGCTTGGGCACGGCGACGGTGGCGGCGCCCGGGTTCATGTCCCAGGCGGCGCGCACGCGGAACTGGCGGTGGCGCGTCGGCGTCGCCATGGTCGCCGCCACGGTGGCCATCGTCGCCGCAGGCAATAACTCTCGCGCCGTCGAGGATACAAATGGATAAACAGCCTCCCGCCGTGGATATTTCCCCTTTTCCTCTGTTCGCGGCCCGAGCGGGCCCACCTGGCAGTGCGGTCATTGCCAGTTTACGCATTCGTTAGACATGGAAAGACGTTTCATAACTCGGGTTGTGTATTCCTGAGAAATACGCCTACCAGGGCAGAAGCTCGAGCACTCTACCCGAATGCCGCACGCGGAGCTCGCCTGTTGAACTCGCCGCCTCTGCTTCACTTCCAATTCGAATCGCCTCCGCCGCGCCGCCGCCATTAGCTTTGCTTGCTTCTTGTAGAATTCCTCGGCCAGAAACCTCGCTCGCCGAATCGAACCCCCCACCACCTCGGCGCACCCTCACCGGAGCCGAGCCCCCCACCGCCGCGCTAAACCCTAGCTGCCGCCGGCGACCGCCGCCATGAGCCGCTTCGACGGCCGTGCGGCAGACCCCAGCTCCTACCGCGACCGCCGCAGGTAACCCGCTCCGCTCCAAACCCTAATCCTAACGGTAGCCCTAGTAATCCTGGTTCTAGGTCCGGTTGGTTACTTATTTCTGCCCGTGTTGGCAGTGAGGGCGCGTTCGGTGGCGGGACGAGGGCGTTCGCGCCGTCGGGCAAACCGGATGCTGCCGCCGCGGCGGCCGCGGCCGAGCTGGACGGGCTGCCGCGGTTCGAGAAGAACTTCTACGTGGAGGTTCCCGCGGTGGCCGGCATGACGGCGGAGGAGGTTGAGGCCTACCGCCGCCGCCGGGAGATCACCGTCGAGGGCAACGACGTGCCCAAGCCGGTGCGCGACTTCCGCGACGTCGGTTTCCCAGGTTAGGCCATGGTGTTCTTCGTAGCTCCTTCTCTCCCCGTGCGCTGCTGTTGTGTTTCAGGCTTTCAGACGCACAAATTTGATAGAATCAGCAGGGAGTAGGATAGGTTCTCGTTAGCATCTCTGTTGAATTACTTAAAATCGAATAAGAGGGACGCCTTCATTTAGCTATGTGCCTCCCTGTATCACATGATGCTCTGTTTCTATAATACCACACTCAAAAAGCATAATATTGATGCACCTATATGTAATTCTAGCAAATACCCTCATGTCACTGGGCTGAGTTGGTCCTGTTAGCTGATTGGGAAAAGGCTTGCCCTGTGAAGCAGTGATTCTCATTGAATCACAAATTTTAGCTAGTTAGCTCTCCCATTTTTCCTACATATGTGAATAATCAACAATAGGATATTTGGGCCTAATAGCACTGGTTACCTGCTCTTGCGTGTGCCAGTCACTGCACTTATTTCCAGAAGTTTACATTTTTATTTTCATTGCTTTGAAGATACTTGATGCATATGTGTTCTATTAACTGAAAACAATGTGGTAAAGTATATTTATTACTGTACTTTTTTACCAACTAGGAGTTTCCTAGTCCTTACATTGCATCACATTATAATCAGAAAGCTCATGCATCTGGAGAAATTTTAGCACCATATTATGATACCCTTTGAAGGGGAGCCTTGACGCAGTGGTAAAGCTGCTGCCTTGTGACCATGAGGTCACGGGTTCAAGTCCTGGAAACAGCCTCTTACTGAAATGTAGGGAAAGGCTGCGTACTATAGACCCAAAGTGGTCGGACCCTTCCCCGGACCCTGCGCAAGCGGGAGCTACATGCACCGGGCTGCCCTTTATTATGATACCCTTTGACGTCGACCTTTGTTTTACTCCACCTTTGTTCTTAAATTTGTATTCTTTATGTATAAAATTGTGCTGTTTGTTTAAGAAAACGTTGCTATTGTAGATACATGATTATTATTTTGTTTATGCTTCCTTAGCTTTATCATCTCACAGCCTTTGTTTCCACTTACTTATGTAAGGTCCTTCATTTCTTTTTTACAGAATATGTGTTGCAAGAAATCACAAAAGCTGGCTTTACAGAACCTACCCCTATCCAGTCACAAGGTTGGCCAATGGCACTGAAGGGGCGTGATCTTATTGGCATTGCTGAAACAGGATCTGGAAAAACACTTGCTTACCTTTTACCTGCCATTGTTCATGTTAATGCTCAGCCTATTCTAGGTGCGAATATGCTGCTTCTATTTCTTGATTTACTTTCCTGGAATCATTCTGGATAATAATAATCTGAAAGGCTGATACATTCTTTGTTATTCAAGCTCCTGGTGATGGTCCGATTGTTCTTGTGTTAGCCCCTACACGGGAACTTGCTGTCCAGATACAGCAGGAGACAACAAAATTTGGTGCCTCATCAAAGATAAAAAGCACATGCATATATGGTGGTGTCCCGAAA